GTGTGTGTGTGTGTGTGTGTGTGTGTGTGTGTGTGTGTGTGTGTGTGTGACTCCAGTGCAGATGCCCACAGAGGCCAGAGGAATGTGGAATCCTTCTGGAACTCAAGTAGTGAACTGCCTAATGTGGGTGCTAGTAACTGAACTCGGGTCTTCTGCAAGAGCAGTACATGTTCATAACCACTGAGCCCCACTGTCAGTTTTTATTAGCAGGTTTACTTATCTTCAGTGTACAGCATGATTCTAATTTTACAGGTTTTGAGACACAGTTTCCAGCCTGAAATGAATATACTCCATGTACCTCACACCCTACTGTGATTGACAGTATTTCTAGCTACCCAGGAAGTTCCTTCATGATCTTGACATTATAATCCAAAGTTACTTTCCTAGAGCCTCAATTGAACTGTGGTGCTTTAATTAGAAAGACACCCACACTTCTCATTCCAGTCAACCCTCTCCACATCTTTGAGCTTATTCTTGAGACTCATTAGTCTTCTGGTCTGTGCTGGCCAGGGGCACTAGAAATAGTGAGATACCATCACCATGAGTCTCATTTGCCTGAAGCCTGTTTATGTATTTCAATCCAGAGTCTTTTGATGTGCTCTTTAAGGATAGTGAGTCAATGATACAGGTGCTAGACTCACTGAGAGGAGCCTCAGCGTGTGTGTGTGTGTGTGTGTGTGTGTGTGTGTGTGTGTGTGTGTGGTGAGCAGATAGAGAATCTTGGGGGTTGCTCAAAGGCTCCTGAGAAGGGGAGGTTTGTTGTGGGGTTAGAATAGAGGGCCTGCCCGTCAGGAGACAGTGGAAGATGGAGGATGGAAGGAGAGGGACATAAGAGGTAGAATGGGTGTGGTATATGAGCAAGATGGACGGATTCTTCCTAAGGGAATAGTTGAGGAGGTAGGTGGATGTGTATACATTAGAAATTGTTTCCCTGGCAAATTTAGGCAGGAGAGTCTGTGTTGAGATGGAGAGCAATGCATTCTAACAGTGTGTGGGAGGCTTTAAAGAGCAGGTAGGAATGTAGACACTTACTAGGTAGACACTTACTCAGTTCCGGATTTGAGGAGCCTGGGATAGGGAAGTCCATAGAGGACTGTGTAAGTGCTGTAAAGTTTGGGGTGCAGGTGGCACAATTTGGGAAGCAACACATGAGATTAAAAAATTGTAAACTCTGTTTGTAGAGGCAGGGAACCCTCTGTTGCAGAGGCAGGCACACGCCTCTGTTGCTAAGATCAGCTCCTCATGCTTTATTGGGGTTGCCCAGTGAGGAGTAAGCCAGATGTTTCGTGGGACAGCTTTCTGCAGGGGGGCACTTGCTCTTGTTTCTTCTGACATCATTACTTAGACTGCACTGTCCTTTGTGTGTGAAAACATGGCTGCTGGTGGCAGATTTGTTTGGGAGGCTTCTGCGGATGGAATGAGTCACTGGGTGGCCAGATGTCCTGGATGTACCGCGCATACTTCAAGCATTGTTCAGATATCCGCAGTTGACGCCGTTGTTTGTTGGAGCCTGTCACCATTGCCTAAGGGCATTGTTCAGACAGGATCCTTCTGTGCCCACTTCTCCGTGCCAAGGCTGCGTCTC